ACTAAATATATTAAAATGAAGGAGATAACGTCCTGTGAATGCGTTATACTCATATCCATACCAGCCACTACTATAACCTGTTGTTGGGTTGCTGATAGACACGCCTGGTGGGGAATGTTCTCGGCTGGCAGTGTGCACTTAGAAAATTGCTCCCATAAATTTTGCAATTGGTCTCCAATTTAGCCTAATGGAGTGGATAATTATGCTTCTTTGTAATCCTGTAGCCTGATTATGTCATTTTTAAAGTGCTGAGACACAGCTAAGTAAATAAGTGATAATTTACAGCCCTCCATTCACTCTCTGGTTTCCAACCCCCTGATGTTAACTCCTTCAGCATCACTTCTTTTTTTGTTTCCTGTCCTTACGCTTTTCTCCACTTCTGGCCTCTTGAACATCCCTCAGTTGAATTGTTCCGCTGTTGGTGGCCGTGCCTTCGGCTGCTAAATCTCTTAAGACATGAAGTTCTCTCCTTAAGACTGTCTGCCTTCCTACCTCCTTCTGCCTTTAAGACTCTTCTTAAAATCGATTTCTTTGACTAAACACATTTGTCACCTGTCCTAATATCTCCTTATGAGGCCATTTTATGTGATATCCCAGTGCTAGATGAGCAGAAAGTTCCACCCATTAAATATTGAAAAGACTGAAGCCTTTATCTTTAGCTGCAACTCCAAACGTTGCTCCTTGGTACCTCTTTTACCAGGCAAGAGTTTGAGATTAAGCCATTTGGTACCTCTTTTACCAGGCAAGTGTTCGAGATTAAGCCAATCTTTTTTGCGAGTTTGATTTCGCATCTGAATCTGAGATGAACTTTGACCCTCATATTTGTGCCAACACTTACATAGCTTGTTGACACTCATAGAGTTGTAGCGTCATACAGCATGGAAACAGACCCTTCGGACCAACCAGTCCATGCCAAACATAATCGCAACTGAACTAGTCTCACCTGCCTGCTCCTGGCCCATACCCCTCCAAACCTTTATTATTCATGCACTCATCTAAGTCCCTTTTAAATGTTGTAACTGTGCCCACATCAATCACTTCCTCAGGAAGTTCATTCCACACACGAACCACCCTCTGTGTAAAAATTTTGTCCTTCATGTCCTTTTTAAATCTCTCTCCTCTCACCTTAAAAATTAGCCCTCTAGTCTTGAAATTACCCATCCTAGGGAAAATGCACCTATCGTTAACCCTATCTATACCGCTCATGATTCTATAAACCTGCATAAGGTCACCTCTTAACTGACTGCGCTCCGGTGAAAACTGTCCCAGCCTACCCAACCTTTCTTTATAATTCAAATCTTCCATGCCTGGCAAAATCTCTTCTGAACCCTGTGTAACACTGCTACAACATGCCATCTCTCAGCTGCTGAAAACCTCATTTGCCTCTTGCTTCTCTCCACACGTGATTATTCTGATGTGTTCCTGAGTGGTCTTCCCTGTTCAACCCTCCAATAAACATGAGGTCAGCCATAACTCTATTTAACTCACACTCAGTCCTGATTCCTTACCACCCTGGGCTCACTGATCTACATCGGCCCCTGAAGTACTTCGATTTTAAATCATGTCACTTTATGTGCCTACCCCACCCCATCTCCACACTCTTTTCCAATCATCCATTTCTCTGCAATATACATGATCCTTTAATTCAAGCTTCTTGTACATTTTGCTGACTTCCCATTGGTGGACTTGTTTAGGCCTTGAGCTCTATTGTTGATGGACCTTTCTGACTATCCATCTCTCTTTTCTCCTTCAAGCTGCTCCTTAACACAGCTTAAAATCTACTACCTTGACCAGGCCTTTTGGTCATCAAACCTAATGTGGCTCAGCAGTATGCTATATTTTAAAATGCTCCTGTGAAGCACTTCATGATGTTTCTTTGAATTATGGCTGCTATATAACTACAAGTTGTTGTTATGTGGCTCAGTGTCACGTTTTGTTTCAGAACTCTCCTGGGTGGTTCCTTGATACTTTACAAAAACACCACGGAAATGCAGGCTGCTGATGTTGCATATATATTTCTACAGATGGGGAGGATTTAATTTTCTGAATGTAGTGAATCTGCAATCCTTGATCAGAGAGGGCTGTAGAGGCTGGGTCATTAAGTATATTCAAGGCCCAGACAGATCTTTAATCAGTAAAGGTTTTGGTTAAGGATAAAGAGGACGAATGTGCATTTGATAGTTATCAGATCGTCCCCAAAGTCATCCTTGTAGGCTGCAGGCCAGCAAATCCAGGAGCTCAATCTCCTGTTTCTGTTGGTGATCTGTCCCCCTAATGTCCACATTACAATGTTTAATCACAAGGATGAGGCAGTAAATGAATCTCTATGTCCTGGTTTTCACAGACTGAGGGAGAATGGCACCTTTATGCTTCTTTCTGATTTGCTCCCGCTTATAAGCACGTGCATGATGTTTTATTTTTCCGTGTGGTTTCATTGTTTTCACTTGTTTTTCTCTCTCTCTCTTTCATCATATGTCTCCTCTTCCCCTCCCTCCCTCCCTCCTTCACTCCCGCTCTCTCTCTCACTCCCCTGGTCCATTCACCTTGTCCCGAAACACTCTGCTGCCCTATCTGACTGATGCTTGCTGCCTGTGATTCTGTCCAGCTCCCTGCCTCTGAAAGAAGTAAAGACTGATAGGCCTAGGACAATGAAAAAGAACACTCGGTAAGAGAACCCGCACAGCAGGCAGATTAACTATGCTTCGGCTAAGGTAAAGTTTTTGTTAAAAATAAAACAACAACAAATACTGTATACGCGGAGAATGGTCAGTGCTCTTTTGGGGGAAGTAGTTCCTTCATTCTGTATCAGTCTCAAGACAAGTACAATGTCCATTCATTCACTTTTATCCTAATAGTGTGTCACGTCTGTAAAGCTCCCCCTTCTGTTTCCATTTCTTTGTGTTTGTCAATCTACTGAGAATTTGAAACTGTTTTGCCATACACCGCCAACCTGTCCTCAGGCTGCCCAAGCAGAAATCATACAGCGTTTTATAGACAAACAGATAAAGGTGACCCTTATCCCATCAGGATTCAGGCCTGAATCATGGACTAAGACAGTAGGGAAGACATCCCCTTAGCCCATTCTATTGTGCTGCTTTTTGGGTAGAACTTTCAATCAATCCCACTCCCTGCTTAGAGTAGCTCCATCTTGCTATTGCACTACTTTGCTTGCTTCTGTCGCTATTTCTTCAATTTCATCTTGAATGTTACTTTTGAATCTATTCCCACCACCCTTTCAGGTAGCGTATTCGTGATCATCACAGTTCGCTGTGGACAAAAATAAAGGTTTCCTCACGTTTTCTCATTGTCAATTACCTGAAATCCAGGACCTCTGGTTATTGGCCTGTCTAAACTGAGAAACAGTTTTTCCTTATTTACGCTATCAAAGCCATGTTGAGTTTAGAGCCTCTTTCAAATGACCAGCTAACATGCTCTGCTCCAAGAACCCCAGCATCTGCACTCTCTTTTGGATATCACATACAGTTTGCAACTTAATCTTTTTAGTGATGTTTTGTTTAAATTCCTTCTGATGCACAAAGATAATCAGACAAATGTTCATAAAATTCACTCATCATCATGCGTCTGTAACTTATACAGGGTACCCTCCTCTTCAACAAACACACATTCCATTCAGGCCTAGAAAGCACAACATTTGTACTTTTCTCTTCAGGCATTAACTCTATTCTTAATGTTCCCATAAGCAGTAATACATTTATAAACTACAGATTGAATTTATGTACCACATTTTTCACACATTCCCAACTGTGCGTGTATGAAGGTGATGGTTAGCTGCATTCATGAACTGAACCAATTACAGAAAATATTTTCAGTGCTGTCTTGAGACCATATCAAAACTTACTTGCTTTGGGAGTATTTATTATTCCTTACTTATGGTACAATATAAAAATATATATAGAGAGAAAAGCAAATCTATATAGAGTACCTACAACATTTTGAAAGTCAACAAAATTCACATAAAACCTTCAGACTAGAACTAATTGTCAGTGGCCCTTAAATCCCCAATCTTTTGTTGAAGGCACGCATGCTACCATTGAGCTAACGCTGACGAGAAAGCATAGAATTACTCCAAAAGAAGTCTCTTCAAATCTATTTCTTACGCATTTCCAATAATTTGCAATACTTTATAATGAAACAGTCTCTTGTAGTCTTTTTGATGCATTGTTGCGGGAGAATGATACTGTTCCCGTGTTAATTGCATTGATGATGTACAGATGGTCCCATAATCAAAGATTTTCAGTCAACCCAGATTAAGAGCACAATTGGACAAAGCATGCGCAGAATGATCTCATGAGAAGATGCACCTACATTGTCTACATATCTATTGCTTCATAGGTCATGTGTAATATGATTACCTTGTAGGACAAATTCCAAGTAACTCTGCCTATTTACAAATCAAACAACCTCAGGTAGTCATTTACCTTCATGTTGTACAAAGAAAACCAACTTCCAACTCTCACAGCATTCTGCAAGCACCTTCTCCAGTGTGACACCAGACTGTTGTGTTTCAAAAGGTCGCCACCTTCTCAAGGATGACGAGCTGGCAATAAACTGTAGCCTGGCTGAAGCAGCTCATATTCCAAAAATTAAAAAGCTTTCTCGAAAAAATGTGGGAAGAAAAATCTGGAACAGTCTTAAGACTATCAAATACTTTGATTCAATAATCCTGAGACTCATTTCTTGCTTCTTCAATTAGAACTTAGATCTTCTAATTCTGAGTAAAGAGTTCACATTATACTTTTACATGGAATTTAAAATGGGTATGATTGAAAGATGACTGCCATCCATTGATGCCTTAATGGTAGAAACCCATGCTAGGATGGAAATTTTGAAGTGATTTAATGCTATACTACTGTATTTACAAGTGGAGTGAGTTGTTCAGTGGCTTTGCAATGGATACACCTTTCTCATGTATACTGGATTGTTTTATTCATATTGAACTTGAGTGCATTGGAGGATTGACTTCATATTTATTTCAACAGGGACTTCCTGAACTACATCCGACAGTATAGGACCTTCTATGCTTCTATGGCAGAGCAGATCTGTGCAGATGATCTCCGGCCTCATGATAGCTCAACCTGCTGGAATGGGGGAAATGTTGTGGAAAGGTAAGTGGTTGGCTTGCAAACTTGCAATAATATTAGGTGTGTGAAATAATATTAGATGTGACATCTGTGGCGTTAACCTCTGGCCCTCTTTGTATATATTGTTGATATGTTGCATTGCACAAACATTATGAACGTACCCTCTTTACTTCTTAGTGGTTTTGCAGAGATTAATTGTGTTGTCGATCCACGTCCAAATTCAAGGAATGTGTTTAAGTGTGATGGTGACAGACATAAGAATACATAAATATTGGCTACATTTGCACTAGCAGGACTGGGTTTGCACAATCTCTTGACATATTCCATTTTGCTCCAGTATCTGCTATTTGTGTTTGGTTATATGTGACCCAAGGATCTCTTATTAGTCTCTACTGTTGGGAGTTAGCTGGGTTGGCTACTGATCTGTAATAAGCAAAGAACTGGGAGATGCAAATGTGATATTCTAACAGCCCTGTGTTGCCATCGCGGCATTGCAAATGAACAGCCAAGGTAAAAGCAACCATTTCTAATTGTTTTGGAAGATTATGAAGATAATATCAGTCACACTTTGGCACTAGTTTGAATAAGTTTGTGATTGTAGAAAATCTTTTAAGGCTGGATCTCAGATTTTGTATCCAGCCCAGAACCCTCCCCATTTGCGGTGGAGGAAGTGCAATTCAGCGCAGGATCTGCAGTTAGTCATGGTCTTCTATCCAATCAGAGTTCTGGCACTTATAGACTCTGTGTAGCACTGTTATAGCAAGTGAAAGGAACACATTCTGCTGTGGAATTTTACTTTGAGTTTATGGGAAAATGTCATAAGGAAACTTAAAGGCAAATGAACTGGCACATGTTTAAAATAATGTGGGACACTAAGAGAAAATTGATGAATTTTGATAACTGGCAAGTGATATTCTCAGCACACAACTGTTAAGGTATAATCATCTCCAACAAGGGAGAATCATTAAGAACCTTAATATTCGACGGTATTACCATTGCTTCATCCTTCACTAGCTATGTCCTGGGGCATTACTATCATCCAGAAACTGAACTGGGCTAGCCATGTAAATACAGTGGCTATGAAGCAGGTCAGAGGCTGGCAATCCTACAGCGAGTAACTCACCTTCTGACTCCCCAAAACCTGTCCACCATCTACAAGGCCCAAGTCAGGAGTGTGTTGGAATGCTCCCCGCTTGCCTGGATAGGTGCAGCTCCAACAAGAAACTGCATGAAGCCTGACACCATCCAGGACAAAGCAGCCCACTTAATTGGTACCACATCCAGAAATGTTTACCCCATACAACACCAGTACTCAGTAGCAGCATGGTGTATCATCTACAAGATGCACTGCAGAAATTCACCAATGATCCTTAGACAGCACCTTCCAACCCCATGACCACAACTATTTGGTTGGACTAGAGCAGTAGATACATGGGAACATGCCGCACATGATCCTGACGTGGAAATATAAGGCCGTTCCTTCACCGTTGCTGGGTCAAAATCCTGGAATTCCCTCCCTCATGGCATTGTGAGTGTCCCTAAACCAAATATATAGCTGTGGTTCTCAAGACGGCAGCACCACTTTCTCTGGAGCATTTAGGATGGGCAATAAATGCTAGCCTAGCCAGCAACACCTGCAATCTGTGAGTGAATTCATTAAAACACAGTTCCACGCAGGGAAGACAGGAGAGCTGTCCTTTACATTACCTGTCATCGTTCTCGTCATTTATCAATTGAGTGCAAACTTGTGTAACCAGATGTCATGTGCATTATTACTGTGTGGAAGAGACAGGCACTGATCTTATCCTGTTAACTACTTTCCTTGCATGTTTGGTTTGAAATGCTCAATGTTTAAGTTTATCCCACAGGCAAAGTTTTATTCAATGCATTGTCCTGCCTATTAAAGAACTATGAGGGATGGAAAACTTCTCATTGAATACGTTATGTAAAGTAGACTATATCAAATGTACAGCACAGAAGTGAGCCATTTGGCCCAGTCCATGTTGGGATTCCTGCTCCACTTCCATCTTTCATGATCTAACTCCTACAGCATAAACCTCTCTTCCCTTCTGTCTCATAGATTTTTCCAATTTCCCCTTAAATAGATGTATGCTGTTGATCACCACCACTCCCTTTGGGAAGTATTTCTACATTTCTATCGCTTTCTGGTTATAAGCATTGTTTTTCTGAGTTCTCTGTTCAATTTCTTCATGACCATCTTTTCTTGACGATTAATTTTGTTCTTCCCCTCAAGTGGGAAAAAAAACTCAGCATCTCTTGTATTGAAACCGTTCATAATTTGAAAGACTGCGATTGAGTCAGTCCTCAGCATTCTCATTTTGAAGAGGAACCCAGCCTATTTTAATTCCCTGATAGGTATAAGCTTGGCAAGCTTATGACAATGCCTCTATATGTGCCTCGGTATATAATAGTTTGAATATGTTGATTGAAACAGTATATAGCACTCCAAGTGTGGTCTTCCAAAGGTTTGGAACAGTTACCACCACTTGCCTTCAATTCTTTCCTTCTAAAAATAAATCCTAATGTTTGGTTAGTTTTATTACAGCTTCGTTAACGTACATCAATACTTTTAATGTTTGGTGTATTTATTTTCCCTGACCCCTTTGCTCCTCTACTGTCATCTAGATTCTTCTTTTCCAAATATTAAGCACTCATCTTATGTTTATTATAAAATGTAATCACTCACATTTATCTATGTTAAAATTCATTTACCAGTAAATTTCTGCAATTTCATTAACGTCTTCTTGTAGATTATGTGAATCTAACTCAATATGGAATATTCCACCCCTTCCATGCCAGATCTGGTGTTACCCGTGAATTTAGAAATTCGGTTTCTGATTCCAAAGTTGATATTGTTAACATAGTTTCCAACAATTTGGAAACCCTCATCCTATCTTCTATCACTCTGAATAATCACCTTTTATTCCTGCTGTCTTGCAGTCAGTTACCTCTTCTGCCAGTTGTACCTGTCTATGAGTTATGATTGTATTCATTAACTTATTTTGTGGTACTTTATTGAAAGGCTTTTGGAAATCTAGATAAATTACATGCACTGAATTATAAAAACTGAAAGAACTGCGGATGTGTAAATCAGAAACAAAAACAGAAATTGCTGCAGAAGGGTCACCGGACCCGAAAAGTTAACTCTGATTTCTCTTCACGGATGCTGCCAAACCCGCTGAGCCTTTCCAGCAATTTCTGTTTTTGTATCAACTGAATTATCCCAGTCGACTTTACTATGTCTTCGGGGAATTAACTGAAGTTGATCAAAGAAGTCTTTCCCTTTTGAAACGCTATTTGTCATATTTTCACTTTCTAGATATTATTCTGTTTGCTCCTTTGGTACGGATTTCTTTAGTTTCTCTACAGCAAGTGTTAAGCTAACTAGTGTAGAGCTGCCTCGACACGGTATGTTACATTTGAAGATTTTAGAGATAAAAGCTGTCCTGTTTGCAGGAGAGAGAAAGGAGTGCAAAAGGGATAATCTCATGTCGAGTTCAGCATCCTTACTTTTTGAAACCTCCATCTGTAAGGCTATTAATTTTAACATTGGGAAAATCGGTTGTGCTAACCTCTATCTTGGATTCCACAACCCATGTCTTCGGCAAGCAATGGTCTGTTTTGAAGAAAGTTGACCCAGTATCTCTTAAAGTCTGGGAATGATACATAGTGGTGCTGTGGATTGATATTCATGAGAGGACATTAGTGTGTGCTGAAGCAAGCTGGATGGAGCAAATGGCCCTTCCTTGTTTAGATTACTTTGCCACTTATGTATCAATTATTTTTTAACATCTGGATATCATCAATACTGCAGTGGTGGTATGCTGACTATTGATGGTTGCAGGTTTAAATCCAGCTCCAGAAACCTGAGTAGAAAGGCTAGTGTGGTACTGAGAGAGTGCCGCACTATTGAAGGCGTTATCTTGGGGATGAAATGTTAAGTCAAGAGATCTGCCATCTTGGATGGGCAGAAAAGACACCAAGGCACTGTTTCAAAGAAGAGCAGACATTCTTCCTGGATTAAAAACAAAAAAAAAACTTCAATTACTCAGCAGTGTCCATGGAGGGAGAAAAATAGAATTAATGTTTTGAGTTAAATGGGACTCTTCTCCATCTAAAGTTTTCCAGCACTCTCTGTTTTATTTCAGATTTCCAGCATGAACTGTTTTCTGTTTTTAGTTCTCAAAGGAGTCCCGCTAACACTTATTCCTCAAAAAAAAACTGCTTCTTATGGAATTGCTGCTTGAAGGACCTTACTGTGAGCGAATTGGCTGCTGTGTTATACACTGTATATAAGTGACCAAACTTGGGTTTTTTTCTAAATCAGTGTAAAGTTGTGTTGTCATGATGCATTGTGAAAGGTGCAATGTAAATGCAATTAATCCATTCATTGTCCATTCCTCAGAGCCACAACACATTAACCTGTATTTACTTTGCAAAACAACGTGTTTTGAAGCTTACATAAAGTATTTTTGTGGGGTTTTGCATCAATGAGAGCAAAACCAAGAGCAGTCACAGTTTGCTCGCGTGATATTCACAGACTGGAATTGGGGAATGCCCTTGGGATAACACGGACTTGAGGTCCCCTGCTTCCTTCAACTGTATTCAGTGAGAAAATTTCAACCCTGTTCAACAATGTCCTAAAATTTCACAGTAACTTCAATCCTTTTGGTGGGAAATAATTCTGTTGTCTTTTCTAGACAGCTGGAAAATGTTACATTGTTCCCACAATTGTTTTCTTTTGTTAATCAGCCACAGAATCAGGAGGTATTCTGAACAAACAAATTTCTCTGGAAATCCCTTCAGATCTTTGGTTTGCTTCTTGCAAAGCAAGATTCTTCTTCAGACACTGATGTCCCAGGCTTGTTTGGAGGTTTGATGGCCAAGGTGTACAGAACTGGGAGTTACCATCAAGGTAATGAAACAATGTGTCACTCAGTCAAAGTTCAATTTAGCACCGATTGTATTGAAGAATGTAGGTTCATAAGCTGGGGAGGACAGGA